AAATTAAGGTCTGGGGCGAACCATGGGAAGGGAACAGGAGTGCCTGGGGACCGGCGCCTTAGCTGAGTGCACCAGCAGGAGATTTGTTAAATAAAAAGTGGTTTGTATCTTTTCCACCATGTCTGCTTCCCGCTTCTTAAAACAGGGGCTTCTCGTGTCCCGGGAAGCACGGCACTGGGCTGACACGGAGAAGAGCGGGTTTAGGATGCTCATGATGCAAGGTGTGAACGCGAACAAGAGAGGTCTCCTTCTCGATTCCTGCCCTGCTGCTCATTCCCCGTTGATGAGCTCCTGTTTGTAAAACTGTGATCGCCAGCAAACAGTAACGATCTGAGCAGGAGACAACCAGGATGCACCAGAATCTTGGAGACAAGATTTCTCATGAGTCGCTGTTTTCACCTGTATTTTGCCTCTGTTTATGACTGATTTTTGCAGGCTGATTTACACCGAGGTGAGTGAGGACCTTGCATGTACTTTTCCAAATGTTTATAGGAAGATTTGGAAAGTTAAGTTCCTTCTCGGCGATTCCTATAGCAAAACCTCAGTCTCACACAATCCCCCCCTTCAGACCCACCATAGGATGAAGGGTTGAATCGAGATGAGGATGCTGGTGCCCTGGTCCCAGGTGGATGCTTCCATCCCAAGCTCTCACCTCCCCAACCTCCATTCCCGTCAGGATGACTTGAATCCAACAGCACTGAAGCACAGCTTTTTTTAGTACAGCTTTTTATTAGAAAAATAGAGGCAAACTGTCTGCAAATCAGAGGAAATACAGAAAAAATTTAGGGGAAAGAGGTGAATCTCAGCTGGAGGATCCTATACAGCAAAAGTATGTTGGCACGTGATATTAAAAAGAAGGACAATTGCAAAATGTAATTTATTTTGCTTTGTAAAAAGAAATGTAGGGAAGAACAGCAAACAACATTGGATCATACGTTGATATTTCAGTGGGTGTTCACAAATCCTGCTAGGTCCCTCGTTTCCTGCATGGCTACCTTCTGCCTACCCATAAATAAAAACAAAGTCATAAAAAATATACCTTGGAAATAATCATCTCCCTCAGTGTGGATTATACCGGCCTTTCCACACCCCTGTCTGCACCAGCTTGCTCCCTCGGGAAGCCACGTGCAGCCGGGACCGTTTGCAGGCAGAGCTTCATCCGCACGGCACGGCGCAGCGAACAAATTGTTAAGGGCTGGGATGTTTTTGCATCAGAGGCACCTGCGGTGCTGACTCCGTGCACCAATTATGTCTAATAACTGCTGGCCGTTGCAGCCTCTGTCCCTACAGCCCCTGCTCTTTTCCCGAATAGATTGGCTGCTGTGGGCTAAAAACCCCATGAACCGATGGGGATGTCTCCCTCCGAGCCCGGCTCCCCTTTTGCAGCCCATGGAGATGTAGCCAGTAGAATCAATGAAGTCGAATCCTGTGTTCAGTTTTGGGCCCCTCACTGCAAGAAGGACATTGAGGTGCTGGAGCGTGTCCAGAGAAGGGCAACGAAGCTGGTGAAGGGCCTGGAGCACAAGTCTGATGAGGAGCAGCTGAGGGAACTGGGGCTGTTTAGCCTGGAGAAGAGGAGGCTGAGGGGAGACCTCATCGCGCTCTACAACTCCCTGAAAGGAGGTTGTAGCGAGGTGGGGGTTGGTCTCTTCTCCCAC